AGAATCAGGATATGAGTGAAACCGAGACGCGTAGAGCGGGATAGTCCTTCCAGCATACGACTGTCATACTCGATGTCAGCAGTGGACTTCCTGTTTATGACTCCGACTAGACACCTCGAAGTAGTAGACAATCTTACAGAGCACCATATGGATTCCTCAAGATTGTTAAACTCGAGGTTATGAACTTGGTGTACCTCCAAGCAAGATCGTATGTATACGGCTACTCCACCCCCAATTCCTGATTTTCTGTCGTTGCGAAACAAAACATCCCCGGTACTGCTGACTCCTGGTTCGAGAAGATATCTAAGGTTCAGATATTCCTATCAAATGAACATTATTAACATTGCTAAGTTCACGTAGCTCATCCATTTTGTTAGATAAACTAGCCGCGTTCATGTATAAGCAGTTTATGCTTTCAATTTGGAACGCGTGAGCTTCATTCTGTTTGTCTGTATGAGCTATACGTGAATGGACATGTAGCCCACCTATATGAGGTTTGCCGAGCTGGTAGGCCCTGTCCTTTACACGTTTTTTTATCATCTAGACAGTCCAGAAGTGGAATGGACAGCTCCAACTTGCCTTTGTGTTTGGTCCTAGCTTCATATGGCCTATCCGGGTGCATGTGGATTCCAGGTGGCAATCGACGTCTGTTGGCACGAAATGCTTCCAGATTTGCGGAGGCCATATGGGAAGATGAGAAGGTTATCTTCATTAGACGGGGTCTAGAATCACCATCCTTCTTCGCTAGTATCGTCACATGCTGAGTCAGTATGTTTTTGAACCTCAAGGACTGTTTGACGAATTTCCATTCCCTGATGTCAGTCTTTGATTGAGTAGGGTCCGTATGTTCCAGTATACCTTGCACGATTAAATTCCTCCCGCGGAAAAACTGATCGTGAGTTTCTTTGGGGATGTTCCGGATGAGATTGCGCTTAGAATACGGTATGTCAGACAGTATTCTTACATTCCCATCTGACTTCAGTAAATGACTCGCTAGTAGGACATCCTCTACGTCGGTAGCATTCTTAAGTGTTACACGAAGTAGCCTCGAGTGATTTGATGCTTAGATGCATTTAACCGAGTGAGCCATGTGACTGTTGATAGCTCTATTCTTGAAAGTCCAAGTTTCTTGTTCAATTCTCCCCAGAGCATACTATCATTTTTGTCCTGCAAACTGAGAGGAAGGTCAGGGTTGTCTTTGAAGTTCAAGTTCACTCTCTACCGTAGGCTAAAAAACAATTTAAAATTTCTCTACAAAGCGATATATGGGCTCTCCTTTCTAACATCCTGCCCGACTATCACGCACGACCCAGTGTACAGACGTAGAAACAACGCATATATACTACTTAACGTAAAATACCAAAAACAAATTCGTTGTACGTTTTTTACAGAAAGGTATAGTTTATTGTGGAACAGGCTGCCAATGCCTATCCGTAACTGTGATACGTTTACCAGATTCAAAAAGCTAATAACCCTATTTCTAGACTCTAAAGAGCTTCAACATTTACTTGAACTCCCGCCCACCAAAGAGGCACCCTATTATGGACCTCCTAATATCTAGACAGTACAAGTACATGACGAACTTGACTGTTATGTAAATGAATGCAACCAAATCACAGAATATATGGCTTATCCTTTACTATTATTCATTGTTTATTAATCATGGACGTATGCTCTTAACCCTCACATTCAGTTCATAAATCTCTCTACAGGTTAAATGTACATTATTCCTCCTAAAATGATTCTTTTTTTCTATTGCAAGTAGACAGATAACTAATCTTATGAATGCTGATCTACTAAGGCCAATCATACACAGCTCAAAATTTGGCCACAAAGTCTTGTGAGTTTCTCAATGTTTTATTTGCCTTACCCTGAAATCTTTTTCTTTCTACAATTTTATACCCTCCCGTATCCTTTGATTTGCTATTAATCCTTACTTCTTTAAACCATTAGTTATTTTTATAGCAGTGTAATATACTATGTGGACATCTAACCCATAAAACAACTTTACAACTATCTGATTTGCTTGTAACATGGACCTAGTAGAGAGAGTGTATTCCAACTATGGGCTTTGATTAAAGCAGTATTCATACTAACCACAAACGTGAAAGCCTAACATCACAAAAGGAGGGGGGTTGGCGTTACTGACCAGCAAACATGATGGTGCGGAGATAGCTTCAATCCACCCATGTCTGTAGGGTAGAAAATTTTGTTTAATTACGGCTCCTAATGGGGCGAGACTCTAATTTAGCGACGACCTTTGAACGAATCTTAAGTGACCTTGACAATTATTAGCCAATCAGAAGACAGTATAAAGTGAGAATATATTGTAAGTAAGTAATGAATTACAGTGGATATTCTTCTTTTACATGATTTAAAAACTTGTTAAGGTTTGATAAAGGTTCAGAGGCTCTGAATTCATAATGCATATTATATAGAAACTCGTCCATAGGGTTAGTGGTTAGGGTTGTAGCCTGTAAGTAGAAACATCTTCTCTAAAATCCGATGTAAACCGATCGCATGTTAGCACCCTAACCCTAAACCCTAACCCTAACCTTAGCCCTAAACCCTAATCTAACCCTAACCCTATGGACGAGTTTCTATACAATATGCATTATGAATTCAGAACTTCTGAGCCTTTATCAAACCTCAACAAGTTTTTAAATCATGTAAAAGAAGAATATCCACTGTAATTCATTACTTTCTTGTAATATATTTTTACTTTATACTGTCTTCTGATTGGCTAATAATTGAAATTGCTCAGTCGCTTCTGATTGGCTCGTCCCTAAATTAGAGTCTCGCCACTTATGGTTTAGTGGGGTGACACGAACTTAAGGTATTAATGATGATTTATCATGCGAAATACCTCATTAAATCGTGTTACGAACGTTGAATTGGTTTCACTTCCAACCCAGTAATCCTATTACAAGCAAGCTAAACAATTCTATAATATACGAAACCTGCTCAAAACCCTATGATACCTAAAAAAAATAATAATACAAAAAAGATGAAAAGGGCTTCAATAGCTTCGACAAAAAGGAAGATAGTCAATTGTATATCACAATACCGTTTTTCAAACTATATTTTATGGCCACACTTATTCCCATACTCTCAGAACCTTTCTGAATCGTCCTCACTTGTCAGTTGTATGTCCACTCATACCTTGTTTACACTTATTTTCTTTAACCTATTAAAATTCTCTTGCCTAACGAATATCTTGATAAAAGAAAATTAGACTGAGTATTCATACTTCAAACATTCCTTCATGAATATTGACTGCTCTGCCTCTCGTCCTTTCTTTTACTTGCTCCCTCTCTCAGCCACCTTGAGATATGGAACGGGTGACTTCATCCTGCACCATCCTTAGATATTTCAAAGGGACATAAGGTTGCGGTTTCTAGAAGCTCCCACCTTCAATGGACCTATCCTTGACCATCAGTCGCAACGCAACTTTCATGAAGCGCGCCAACTGTGGTACTGTGTAAAACCATCTCCATTCATATCTTCTAAATTATCAAACCAGCTGCGTAATTTACTACACTGGATATTGTATCTTTCGTAGCGATTTGATCTTGCCTGTAAACTGGCATGCCTCGTGTAACAAACTGTTATTTGAGAATAAAGTATTATTATTATACGACGGAATGCTACAAATCGGTAAGAAACAAGTGCATAACAAAAATTCGTGAATCTCAAAGAAAATATTAAATGCAGTTGGCACAATCTCCACTCAAGCAGAACATGAGAATATTCTCGTACATAAACTGCAGAACAAGGATGCATCATAGGATTCTCAACATAATTAAAGGAGGGAGTGAATCTGAAATGATAGAGGAAGATCAGGAAAAAGAAGAGCCTATGGCTGACTATTTTGAAGCAGTTTTTACTCAGGAACATCATCTAGACAAAGAACCAGACCAAAATAGTCAAAAAACCACCTGCTCACCGTGGACTTCGATCAAGACGATGTGCTTGAGGTTCTTAGCTCCTTAAACATGGAACGGTCAACAGGACCATATGAACTAAACCCCAAAACCTTGAGACATATTGCACAACATATTGCGGCCCCACTGACTGTGATATTCAGGCGCATGTGATCTTCAGGTAGACGTAAATCGTATGACTAACTGGTTCAAAGAATAGGTGATGCCTATCAACGCGGCAAAATGTGTCAACACTTACTTTGAGAATACAAAGTTTAATAGGTACAACATGGGGGAAGTGCCAGTACTCATTGTCCGGTCTCAAGGATCTGGGGGCGACAGTGAGCCGGGAGGTCTCAGCTAAGGGGTTAAGAACTCTATGGGCTTTAAAACGGACATTCACTAAGTTATACAGTAACACGTTCACCACAGTATACATAACCTTAGTGAGAAATAATCTTGAAAAATGCGTTCAGGCTGCAAGCCCCTGTTTAAAAGGTGACTCGGATATCCTAGAAAAACTTACCCATTCTATTCCAGAGCTCCGGGGTTCACCATACAAAGAGCGGCTTGAAAAGCTGGACCTCTTTACTCTGTCCTATCGAAGACTAAGGAGAGATCTTATTTTGATGTACAGAATACTGAGAAATGATTTTGGACTAACTTGTTCTCTCTTTTTCTTCCCACTAGATCGGAACATCTCAGAGGATATAGTAGGTGAGTAGAAAAGCCAAGAACGAACATAATACTCGTGGCATACATGTTTTTGCAACGGGTCATCAATACTTGTAACCCACTGCTCAAAGCAGTGGTGATCGCACCTTCAACTGACTCTTTCAAGAGAAGACTGGGCACTCACAGGAGCATACTAGAAAAGGAATAAAATATACCGTAGGCCTTCTGTCTTTACTACACAAACCTGAATCTAATAATTTCATAAAGATATCGATTACCGTACACACACTTTGATTATAAACGGTTGTGTCTTCTCTTTTAACTTTGACTGTCTTGTTAAAGAATCAAATACATGTTTTGTTTAAATCAATCACATGGGAAGTTATTTGCTTGGGGTTATTCAATTGCGTAAACTGTAACGTTTAGATACGCTGCGGTATTTAGTTTTATTTTAAGTAGTCGTATTGTCCTAATTTTATACTTGCATTGTTACTGACTGATGTCGATTTCACTTAGTGCCTTCTGTTTTCTGAATATGTCATTGGCGATCGTTTTCTGTTGTTCTTTTTCAGAATATCTACCTAAGTAACGTACTGAAAGTTAATAAATGAACTTTGGTTGGAACATATCGGGTTATAAATACCTTGGCCTTGTGTGCGAAGGATCACTCACGAATGTTCCATTGAAGAGTGTTCAAATAAAATGTAGGATAGTAAATATGCTTTCAGACGTCAAGGTAGAGTTTTTGTACGAAAACTCATTACAAGAAGCTCTGGAGGCGTCATTTGTTTTTCCATTAAACAATGTGGCGGTTTACCATTTCGAAGCACAAATCGGTGACAAAAAAATAGTATCCGTGTGTCGTCCACGTGCAGAGGTAAGTGGGATATATTGCCATTTTATTTGTATATAGTCGGGAAAGCTAGTTATTATACCACTTGGTAGCGTTGTTTATAACAGGAAAGTTGCATAATATCCGTAAAACAATAATATTCGGAGAACGACGCTTCACTGATTATTTTCAGTTCCTATCGTTAATGATTCAAACGGTCCATATTGTACATATAAACGTGGTTTTGTGTGTTAAAATTCAACTCAGCGTACTTTCTATATCGCTTTACTTATTTAAATGTCAAAGCTATAACTCGATTGTGTGTATTCCAGCCTTCGGTACTTTATGTAAAAGGGTTTTATCTTGACATCCGTAATCAAAATTTAGAAAGCACTGACTGGTTAAAACTAAAAATTCATGTATACAGTGTGGAGTAGTGTCCTAACTTCTACTGATATGTCATAGTTTATAACAAATCAGTTTGAGTTTGGAAAGGACAGGAGGCTTGATGGCCTGCGTTAGTCCTGGCAATGTTGGTCTCTCAGTTGATCCACCTTTCTTGTGAAAAAGTCGACGGATGGAGCTTCAACCACGTGCTGAGTTAATGAATTCCACTCGTTGATGTTTCTATGGGAAAGTCGATAGTCAGCTGACAAGTAATTTGTTCCGGGCTTATGAACTTTTTTTACAGTGTCCTCGTAAATTCTCTGTTTTGACAGACGAGAAAAATGAGGGCATATCAGCTGCGGATTTGGCACTAGGCAATTTGTAAACTGTAATCAAGTCGCCTCTAGTTCTACAATATGACAACAGGAGAAGGTTTAGCTTGGCCAGTCGAGCATCACACGGAAGCTTCGCTATTCCGGGAATCAGCTTAATTGCTGTTCTCTGAACCTTTTCCAGAAGCTCACTGTCATTTTCTAAACAGGGGCTAGCCGCTTGTATGCAGTACTCAAGTTTAAGATTTACGAACACTGTATACAAAGTCAAAAACGTTTTAGCGTCAACATGACTAAAAGCCCTACGTATTGACCATAAGGTTCTAAAACCTTTGGCGACTATTGCACGGCAGTGTGCAGTAGTCTTTAAGTATTGTCTAACGATGACTCCTAAGCCATATGTCTGGACGACAAGTAGCTCAGTGTTATTCATCGTGTATGTATCTGTACCTTGATGACCAATATGCATCACAACGCACTTGGAAGTATTTATCGGCAACTGCCAGGTTTGAGACCATTCAGATAATTTCTTCAGGTCATTTTGGAATTCTAAGCTATCACCCTTACATCGTATCGTTCTCCATATTGTCAGCATATAGCAAGACCGATGATGATAGGAGACGAAGAAGGTCATTTACATGCAAGAGGAATGGCACCAACCCCAAAAATGTACCCTGGGACACTCCACTAAGCACAGTTTCCCAGCTAGATAACTTTGAGTTCACCCGTACTCCTTGTTGACGCCCGACTAGGAAGTCTTTTATCCATATCAATAGATTGCCTCCAATCCCGACATTTCTTAGCTCATATAACAGCCGGTTGTGCGAAACTTTGTCAAAAGCTTTGCTGAAATCAATGAAGGCTACGTCTACAGGTGACTTTTTGTTCTTAATAGCGCACCAGCTTTCATGAGCGACTAATAAGTTAGTGAAACAAGAATAACCTATTCTGAAACTGTGATGCTTCTCCGAAAAGATCTGGTTTTCATCGAGGTACTTAAACAGCTATTTCCGGATAATCTTTTCTAAGACTTTAACAACCATACTAGTTAGTCTAACGGGGCGGTAATTCTTAGGTTTATGTTTCGTACTTGTTTTGAAGACAGGACTTACTATGGCGTTCTTCCAGTTTTTCGGTAAACGACCCTGCGTTACGGATAGATTAAAGCATATACTTAAAGGGTTTGCAACGAAGTTAGATAATTCCTTCAGTAGACTAGGATGCACTTCATCGGGTCCCGTGAATTTACCCATGTAAAGCTTATTTAGCATACCAAAGACATCTAGCTCTTTAATGGTCACGCTATCCAGTGTATGTGTGGGGGGATTTGTATGCGCTGACGGGAAGGGTGCTCCTATGGTTGCTAAAGTAGTTCGAGAACACTTGAGCCTTACCAAAGTTGTCCTCCACTAATGATGCGGCAGTACTATCTCCCCATAGTGCGGGAATATTTCCTCTTCATTTTATCCTTTGGTTTATATAGGAATACAAGCGTTTAGGACATTCTATGGATTCCTTAACAATTTTTTCTTCGTACAACTTTCTAGACTTATGGAGGGTCGAGGCACAGGTATTCCGAGCTTCTCGATACTGAGATTTTGTCTCATCAGTCCCCAGTAACCTAAATCTATCCCACATTTTTCTTCTAGTATGCTTGCTTTCCAGACGTTAGGTCTGGATTGAGTTAACTCGTGCTCGTGATTGACAGCTATATGGAAGTCGAAAGTTAAAACTGCGTGATCACTTTTACCTAGGGGTGGCGTATAATGGAGGTTCGCAACGTCATCCTCATAGTGAGTCAATATAAGATCTAGTAAGGATGATTCAGTGTCCGGGTCGTACCTAGTCGCTTCTTTCACATGTTGCACTAGAGTACATGTGATAACCGCATCAACTAGTTCCTGGTCGACGGAATTTTCTGACAATTCAGTTCGAAGATTTTCCCAGTCTATCATAGGTGCACTAAAATCCCCTAGGATTAGACATCGACCACTTTGTGACCAAGTATTGCGACTGCTTAGCAGAACCTCCTTTACCTCACAGCTTGGGCTGCAATAGACCATCATCATCATCATCAGCTCTTGTCCCTTGCATTTCAAGCGGGAACTAACTAATTCACACATCCCACTCTCATGGGGTACACTGTCGATAGTGACAAATGGGATAGCATTCTTAATGCATAGAGCTACTCTCCCTCCCCAAAGAATATTTGCCACTAGTTTATATATATATATATATATAATCAACTTTACACGTTTCATATAACGGCTTATTTGAGATGGGAATATGAGTGTTTCTGAGTGGTATATTTCATATAATTGTTTGTACAGATTAGACGTATAAAATGTAGTGTTGAGAAAGGCTTTCCAGCCAACTCTATCTCACTACGTGATTTAGCAATCGTACGGGTAGTTAAAGACAATCTAAAACGGGTAGCAAATAGAGTAAGTGATCAAAAGACGTACATACATACGCACATATAAAAGGGGTCAAGGTTACTGGGACAACTATTTATGTACATGATGACTCGAGAAGTTCAGGGTAAATGACGTGAATCATCAAATGTATTAACATGGCAACACACTTTTGCTTCCAATGCAGTTTGAGAGAATCATGATTTTAAACCAAAATTAACTCATTTAATAGTAAAGATAGTTATCTAAGCATGTAATTTGGATAGAAAATAACAGCGCTTTTTATCAGACAAGAGTTGGATTGAGTCTCCTAAACTGGCAGATCAATCAGTGTGGAAAACTTTGTGGTATAAAGTGATTTTTTAAGTTTACTTTTTGTTGCATAGCTTATGCCGCGAAAATGTTTTACTGAATATCAGCGCTTCTTAGTTAGAAATAGATTGGGAACTTGATTTATTAATGATTTAAAAAACAGTAAATATTACTAACTTGCAAGATATAGCTATCACTCAGAGGTATGAATATAACTTTGAGTTTCTCCAATATCTATTTAGTGAATAGCTTTTTATTATATAAAAACGAGTGACCTTTTCACTTTCTAATAAATAGCCTTATAGCTACTTATTTTACATTAGTTTCAAGTCATCCAGAATAAAGTAGAATATACCTCCACTTTATCAAATAGCTTAATGGTGTTATTTATTTTATTTTACTTCAATGAAGGCTAAAGAAACGTATGACAGTGCTGTTGAAGAAGGGCACACAGCAATCTTGGCCGAACAGGATGAACATTGTGCTGATTTATTTAAAATGAACATCGGGAACATACCGCCAAATGGAAAGGTTGCTATAGTTCTACAATATGTTGGACTGATAGAAGGAAAAAACATGAAGACAGATACATCTAAGTTTAGTCACTCTGAAATTATCCTAACTTTGCCAAGCGTTATCAACCCGCGTTACTATCCAAAAGGTAAATAATTATGTTTTGTTTAATTTCAATCCAGAAAAAAAGAATTCCGACGAGTTTGAGCAGTTTACGGAGCTTGTGCTTGTGAATTCTGTGCCCTACACAATAACATTTGAATCTGAACTTTGGATGCCGTCAAAAATTCTGGATGTCAAATCAACACATGACAGTTTCACTTGGAACTGTACAAACAATTCTAATCATGGCCTTGTAAGCTTCAGCACTTTTTGTTTTCTTAATGGTCTAAAGTTTTTCTTGTATATCGATTCTAGAGTTATCAAGTATTCTGTTTTTCATTGTTTTCATGACTCGCCTCCACTAAAGGTCATATGTTTACAGAAGTAATACTACTCATTCAGAGTGGTGGTCGTGTTTATTTTAATTCACCGAAAATTTAAAGTTATTTTCCAATATGTTTATTACCTACTTTCGACTATGGGAATACAATTAGATTTGCTAAACATACTGTCTTGTATTACACATTCGCAAGGTGCTTCTTGTAGGCCTACCCTTTCTTGATGAAAAAAATATGCGGGACATGCACAGTGTGCTTCTAGTTATTTTATAATCCTGAATTTACGATTTTATCGTGGCTCTTGACTTTCAAGTTTAGTTACGTTTTGCGCGAGACTAGTTTGGTCCTACATTTATCTTTAACAACTCAATAATGCATTGTAAGCATCAAGTCACTAACGCGTTGGTTGTAAAGTGGATGACTAGTGTTTTTATCTGCCGGTTTTGTTATCAGCGGATAGCAAATAGTCTTCATCACTCAAAATAACTGTACTCGCCCAACTACTCTACTACTTGAAGTCAGTTTATAACATACATACATACTAAGAAGAATTTATTATTCTGTCATGCATAAATATTTCGGGTAATACAATTTGCAATAGTTAAAGAAATCAGAGATCTGCCGCAGGTTTATGAGACAAAAAGGTTTCAATTTAGTTTGTTACATGTAATAACGTTCTATCCACATGATTTGTCTTGAAACTCAAAAGATGAAATCAAAACTAGTCGGGAGATTTTTCACTCCGTCTTAACAGTATGTTTGAGGTTATATAATTCCTAAGTTTTGATACGAATTTTGCACTATAATTTTGTTTTGTGAAATGAAACCGTTAACACAACTGTCTAATAACTTATTTTTTGAAGATATCTTTAGTGTTTGATACGAGAAATGGCATATTGGTTTAGTCCTTCATGGTACAACAATCTAAAACGTATTGAATGATGGGAACCAGTTGATTTACTTGTTGGTTTTCCATAACATGAAAATAAGGACTTTACAGCCATTCCCCTCGGTCACTCACCTGGCTGTAAAGTACACAAAAACAAATGTGATTACCACTCTGGATAGTAAATCAGTACTACCAGGGTAGGTTAAGTGTAAGTACAAATTGTTTTTGAACACATAAAGGGGGTTTCAATTTCCGTATAGCCAAGGCTTCAATAAACCTTAGTATACGTCCTTGAAGGCTTTTGTACAAGACAACAAATGCTGACTTGATATCAACCTTATGACCCGTTTCAATCAAATGTTTCGCAATGGATGGTGATGTCTGTCTATCCTGTGATCTTATTTCACCATTGGAATTCATCTGATTCTGCAACCATTTTGGTATATGTTCACCCACCCTATGGTGGTCAAACTATTCAACTCTTGATCACTACATTTCAAGCCTTGTCTGGGCTTTAAGGCAGTGTTGGTAATCGTCAAAACAATATGACTTGAAACCATGTTCATAAATCTGTAGTTGATTGGTAATTCACACGAATTAATTTAATTCATGTTTTAGGTCAAACTTTCCTCTGAGTTTATACCAGATCATGATCTTCAAATGGTCCTAAGTCTTTCTGATCCACTTACATCTCTGGCATCTCTGGAATATGGTGATCCGAACCAGTCGTCTATATTGGCTATGAACTGTTTGATGGTACAGCTTTTGCCTGATATTCCTAATGTCGTCAGTTCTAAAGATATGCGATATGAGTTCGTGTTTTTAATCGATCGTTCAGGTTCGTCATTTCACTTTTTTTATTCGTCCTACTGGATACAGTTTTGATGTTTGCTGGTTAGCTCAGTATTTTGGTGGTTTTTAACATCAAGGTCACATCTAAGCATCCATAAATATTTGTCTATTTATTTATTTATTTATTTGAACACACAAATATTGGTACAAGGGTGCACCAAATATATATGCGCCACAATGAGAATCGGAAGAGAAAAAAAGAGGAGCAATAACGACCAGATTAGTGTAAAGTAGTGTGATAATAATAATAATCATAATAATAGTAATGATGGGGGAAACGGAAAAGTACAACCAGAAGAAATCTTTCAGTTAAGGAAGGTACAACCACTTTTTATGAAGAAAGTAAATGAAGGTTGCAGCAGGATCGGCACTGGCTTTTATTCTGAGCCATATCTGATAACGTCTCTGGCCACTGTGTCGCACCATCTCTCGGACCCCAGCCAGGGAGTCGTGAAGGACCAACACAAGCCAACTCTTTGCAGCTTTCTTTCATACCACGACACCATGTCATACACTGACCACCTCTCCGCTTTCTCCAACCCGTCCCAGCGTCGGCAAATAATGCACGACGTGGAATTCTGTGGGACGACATTCGTAGAACATGTCCAAGCCACCGAAGTCGATGTTTCAAGATGGTGACACCAATTGGATTATCGTCTCTGTGCCTGAACACACGATGCCGAACCTCTGCATTACTAACATGGTGTTGCCACTGGATGTCAGCAATCTTTTGGAGACAACGATGGTCAAACACAGAGAGTCGTCTAACATCGTAAACTCAGAGAGGCCAGGTTTCACAAGCATAGAGCAAAACTGCTCTCACCGACGCGTTGTAGGTCCGACCTTTTACAGCCATACTGACATCACGAATGCTCCAAAGATGGCCCAGATTGTCATAAGCCGCTCTGGCTTTCACTATACGTGCAATGATCTCATCACTCCCGCGACCACCAGCACTTATGCAGCTACCTAGATACACGAACTTCTCGACTACTTGTATCTGCTCAGCATCCAGGGCGAGTACAGGATTGGAATTCCGCTTTGAAGGTGCAAAGCACATACCATACCTACGGACATTGATTGCCAACTGATTAAGTGAGGATTGCATGACTTAGACATTGTCGCACTGTAAGACAATATCGTCCGCATACTCAAGGTCGAGAGGTCTTTCTCCAGGCAACAGATCCACACCACCATTACTGACATCCATCAGAGCTGTTTCCAGAATGTCATCGATGGTAAAGTTGGAGAGGAATGGTGATATTGGGCAACCCTGTCTAACCCCACTGCTCGAATAGAACAATGGAGAGAGGTGGTTGTATGCCCTCAGTCTGCCTGAGGTGTTTGTATATAGGGCTTTTTGGATGTTAATAAACTTCTCAGGCACACCCTTCTTCAATAAACAATCCCAGAGAACAGTCCTATCCAACGAATCGAAGGCAGCCCTGATGTCAAGAAACACTACGATTGTTGGCCTTCGAAACGTATGGCGGTGTCCTAACATTTGACGGAGGGTGAAGATATGATCAATACATCCTCGACTAGAACGAAAATCAGCCTGCTCCTCGCGAGTCAATCTTTCTCGGGTTTTGAACAACCTACGAAGTATGACGGAAGCCAATAGCTTGGACGCAATCGGAAGTAGACTTATGCCTCGATAGTTGTTACCGGAACGACGTGAACCCTTTCTAAAGATAGGGAAAGCTGTCGACTCATTCCATGACGTGGGTACACTCTCTAGTTCCCAGGCCTTTATAAACAACACAGTCAGTTCCTTAGCCAGAAAGTCATCGTTTCTCACGCCGATTTCTTCTCACTTTGATGGAACTTTCTAATTTAACAGCACATAACCGACTGTTTATGGGGATCCAATCGACTAGTGCTGCCCCAGCTCTAGCGCTTAGTGTGACACCAACGTCAGCAAGACCAGACGAAGATGCCACAGAGTCCCCGGATAGACAACTAAAACAAGCTTTTTGAAGCGACAGGGTTATTTAGTACTGTGAATTACAGTGACCTGAGTGCAGTACTGAATAGCATTTGCTTCGTTTATTCATGGTTCTCATAAAATATTTTAGATTGAATCCTTCACAGTGAATGACACGAGAGCTGTCAACTAAGTTCCACCGTGTAGGGTTTCTCGTATGACCGATACTTTTTATCAATTACTGATGATCACGAAAAGTTTCGTAATTCGGTAAATTTCCACTTCACAGTATTCTGTTTTCATTGTTTTTAACGTCGTCATTAACAGGAATTGAGACTCACTTTAGAAGTTTAAACTGAAGTCATAACTTTATAACTCGTTAGTAATTTCATCTTTATTATTGTCCTTAGTAACTTGTGATTACGAATAACACAAATTTTTACTTGAATTTACAGGTAGTATGGAAGGTGATAACATTTCTTACGCTAAGACCTCCCTTCTTCTCTTCTTAAAGAGCTTACCTATGAGTTGTCGTTTTCAAATTATTGGCTTCGGGAGTGATTTTGCTGCTTTATTTTCAGAGTAAGCAGAGTGTTATTTAGAGTCAATATTGTGATGACTCATCAGCTTTCCACAAGAATCATGTACCTTGAAGATAACTAAATAATCACTAGTGCACGGAGGGCAGCTCTGAATTCAAGAAACAATGATTTTTGGCCTGAGATAAGTGTGGCGCTGCCGTAGCACTTACCGGGAGTGAGGATGTGATATGCACGTGCAAGACCATAACAAACACCAACCTGTTCATCACTAGTCAATCTTTCGCGTGTTTCGAGCAATCTGCAAAGTATGATGGAAATCAGTAGTGTGAATGAGATCAAATGTAAACTTGTCTCCATGTTGCATAAGTGGCATAGGGTCTTTTTAGAGATGGAGATTGCCTCATTCTAAGTTGTTGGAATATCTCCATGTTCCATACCTTTTCAAACAACCCAGTCAGTTCCTTGACTAGAAGTTTACCACCATTATTAAACCAAACCAGGGTCTAGGCCCGATGACTTATGGCATTTCATAACTTGGAGTTCCTAGTGAACTTCCCTCGTTATGTTTATGAGTAGTTACCGACCAGCGAGTACTAGATCTTTTGACTGACGATATTGGGGCCATAGACCAGGTAAGATATTCCTCAAAAAACTCCTTCAGGAATCCATTAGATGTTACTGAATGGCGTATTATCGACTTCACAGAATTTTTGACTGTCACCAGACCTCTGGTTTCCAGTGATTCAGATAATTTGAAATGTAGTCTAGCAATTGGCAAATGCATCTGCTGCTTTCAACTAGTTAGAACGCTACAATCACTGGGTTCCTTAGTCCTTACACAAACTTGAATCAAGAATCTACATTTACTATCAAACTCGTAGTTTACCAGAGTAGATGAAGATGCTTCAAGGAGTTGTAAAGAGTCTGTAGAAACTAAGCGACTTAATCCACCAGTTCTACATCGTCATACAGAGGCAGCCGATACTCATCTACACTTGCCAGTGAATAAATGTCTAAACTCAGTCATGACTCGGTTAGATATTTAGTTGCAGCAATAGCTGCAGGCAGTCCGTTTAAGATGAGATACAAAGTGGTCACCGAAGTGCATAACAAGCTCGACGAAAACCTGACCGTACTCAAAGTTCAGATCGGCATTCCAACAGGAGCAACTGTCTTGTGCACATCAACGCCAGCGGTAGCTGATGTCAGTGTGATTAATCTGAGTTCAGGTTTGAACTACAGAGGGAGGATGCTAGAAATTCATCGATGAGTGTGCTAAAAGTTGGCGCTAGCCATAAACAGGCTATGGTTTGCACAAAGTTTCAGGAAATGTTCATCGTTATCGGACTTGCGACTACAGATCACTCACTGAACACTCACGCGACTCTTCTTTGTGCCTAAATTTCCGACCTGCGCAACAAAACAGACTAGCATTGCAATATCTGTCGAATGCACTTTCTTGGGAAGTTCACTTAACTGGTGGTAGGGCTCACCCATTATTGTGTCTGGGTTTACAATCTGCCAAGGCGTATGTAATAACAGAAAGATATTTTTTCTCCCATTAGTTTCACTACAGCACATCAAGGATTGTTGATAAGGATCCGACTGACTACTCCTGCATCTGCTCTGGGTTTATTGCGATGCCAACGTCAGCTAAATCAGATGAGCATATAATCCTGTCTTAAGATAATCGCATGTGAAACAAACTTCTTGAATCGGCAGATACATAACGAATTTGTACTACTCCAATTAAGTCTTGAATAAGGTTTTCAGAAATACGAGAAACATCAGTATAAAAGCTTTCCAAAAACATAGACAAACTTATCTGCTGCCCGATCTACGTCAGTGTGGGAACGTTAAAGAAAACATGTTTAAATGTCACATGTGATTTCGGAAATGCTGTATCAAAGATCGTATTCGATGCCAGGATTCATAAATTCGACTATTCAGCAACTTAAGATCGTTTAGACTAAACAAAACTTTCGTTGTAGACGAGTTGCCAAAGGAGTTAAAAAATAAAAGTATGTACAAAACAGAATAAAAAAGATCAGGTAGACCCCGCATAAAATGTTGCATGTAGCCATATGATTGTAACTACTGTCTGGGTGAATACTGAATCAGAGAGAAAACATTTTCTTCAGTCGTAATCATCATAATAATTGTTTAAGAGTTAGGATTCTGTTTAGTTCTTCAAACCGAAGCCGGTTGTTATTCTTGGGGGTCTGTTTCGTGGGCGCTTAGCCTGGAGACCTAGTCCACGATGCACGAGATGCTGTCCCATGGTGGGCCGGTAATCAAAATATGTTCATATTCCATAAGTTCCTTCCTGCTCTCGCAGCTAATTTACACCATTTGTTACCAATCAGGTTTCTAAAACTCCTTGATCTTTATTTGATCATTGCTTCATGGTTTCGTGTCTTTCGTATTTAACATCCATTCAATTAAGGAGTGTGCTGCATTTGCTCACTTGTGTTTAGGGCTATCGTTTTTGAATTTCTGGGTGTTTTCAGCACACAGTTATATGGCAAACCTCCAATATCTTTAATAAGTTCGACTTTTCGGTTTGATTTTCGATGTACTGTCTTGTATAGATTTTTAGCTGTTCATTCACTTTTTACTGCGCCTTATATTTTATTCATTTGACACTAAGCAGATCAGTTGTTCTACTAAAGTCAGAACGATGTAAACTCATCGAAACTCAGGAGTACTGGGATATGTAACACAATACCCCAGTCATATCCGATGAATGTTCAATCTCACTAATCAATTTTCCATCCTAAACTAATACCCCACACCTAACCACAATTAAACTCACTTCGTGTTATCCTCATATACAAGCAGTGCTTTGAAAAGATCAAGTATTCACCAACTATGCATGTTTTTTGCTATCACGGTGGGTGCGATGATGATACGTTATGAACACAATTTAAACCATGATAGTGGACCCAGGTTAATATTCGAAGTTAATCTGCTCTAATGAAATAGCTGTTTTTCAGTGTTTTGTTCACCATTATTCCTGATAGGGATAAATTTTTGTATCATTTTTATTTACTAATTCGTTGGATGACTATTTTTATTATTAGACCTACAGACTATTCTGAAGAATCGTTAAATACAGCAGTGAACTACCAAAAAGACCTAAATGCTGATATGGGCGGTACAGAAGCTTACAATGCTCTAAAGTCGGCTCTACATTCAACACCGAGTGGTGTAGGTTGGTTCAAACAAATCATATTTCTTACGGACGGTGATGTAGGTAATGCAGATGAGGTAGGTTTTCTGTTTTCTTGTAACTTTTAACTCCTTTACTTGATCGAATCCCTTATTTTGAAGGACTAAAGTTGTAATACAAATACCTACTGTTAACAACAAGGTCGATTGTAGTATTCACATTGTGTTTATTTGTTTTCTTGCTTTAAATGCCTGTTAACATTCATGATTAATCACAAAAATCAGTATTTGGAGGTACTAAATTTATTCGAAATGAAATAATTTGTAATATCATAACGTTTTATGCTAGTGTGAAGTAAGCCTAGTTGAGTAGAAGTGGATATTATGGTGGTCGGTTTAGTTGTTATATGTTTTGGTTTTCAGAACTTTATACAGCTATGACTTAATAGGATAAAATTCCGAATGTATGCCTTTGTATTATAGATTGTAAATCTGACTGTGTTTCAGACATCTAGTTAGCATCTGTTTACCTTTTGTACAAGCGTATTTCAAACATTATACTTAAAATTGTGTTAGCTTCCTAATTATCAACAACTTCAAACTATTTAATTAATAGAAGGATAAATATATTTCAATATGACATTAAATTGAGACTGCTTCATCACTAAAAATTAGTTTATAAGTATCACTACTATGGTCTGACTTAATACTTTCAAATACATAAGACGTTAGTTAAATTATTCGTAGTAATAAGACAAAAATGTATTTTTAACCATCCAGTGAGTAGAACTTCCAAATTTTAATGTTTTATGACTTTGTATAAGTCTCCTTTGGTGAAAATCGTTAGAAATTCCCTTTCCTATTCAGCACAATATTGAGAACAAAATGTTTCGGTGAGAATTACTGATTCACTAGGATATGACAAGCGTATTATTATATCATTTTTATAAATATCAATCTGTGTTAATGTGATTAGATAAACTGTATCACACTATGAACTACTCAGATTATTCAATTATAAACTAAATTAAGGCAATTAAGAGCTTGTTCAAAATTGAAGTTTATTAAAGTACCTTATAACTAATTTCTGTTATTCATCGATATTTACTTCATAAATATTTAGGTTATCGGTTTGGTACGAATGAATGTTGACAAAGCAAGAGTATTTACTATAGGGCTTGGACAAGGAGTAAGCACTGCACTAATCGGTGGTGTTGCTCGAGCTGGCAATGGTACAGCAGAATTTGTTCGTGATCCGTAAGTGTTTGTTTTTCTGTTTTTCCATAGTACATCATTTTCTTTTTATCTATTTTAACTCTTTTCTGAATTGTATTTCAGTGGCACTTTAGTTATTTCTCTTTTGTTATGTATTTGTTATTCTACTAACCGTATTCGTACGGTGTTCCATCCGTGTTAAGGTTGGTCAAGCTTTATAAGGTGAAGCCGATTGGGTTTTGCAAGGCTCGCAAACCTACCGCGTGGATGTGATTTTGTAGAAAAGTCGTTACCCCCAGTTCTTGGCCCACGGGCATCACACCAGGGCAAGTTTAATCTATATGCATACTGGAGACTTGTAAGTTTTCACTCATGCGTCCTTTGACATACGCAAAGATATACGTTACATGCACATCAGTAACACACAAGTTTCTACTCATACATCCCCTATCATACATATAGATATATTCACCCAGCTGGGAGGGTAGATGGTCAGTCACCGCTCCCTTCAAACGTATTTGCTTCAACTGACCGTCACTTACGCATTGCATACGTATCAATGGTATAAAGGCTTTCTTCCCATAGACCGTTCAAATTAGCTAGTAAGGTTGTCCCTAATTCCCAGCAGCGCTATGGAAAGGCTTTAGGTCAGACTTTGCTGCCAAAATATTAGATTTGATCCATCAATTGATGTTTATGTTGTGATCGAGATAGTTAATTTCCTCTTTAAGAAAAATACTTAAGGAAATAATGATTACTTACAGTTCGATATTTCATGAGACATAAATTGGAGTGATAAGTTCATTTATTTTACAAATGATTCGCTACAATAAATGTTGCATTCATAAACCCACTAAAAAATTATGGTCTTATCATTTTCTGGATAATATTTAACTAGTAGACTAGTAGACAGGAGCCATTATCGATTTTCTTTAGGCTTTAAATAACGGATATACGTGCTAATGAGAATCTGTTGAAATATTTAAGTACTTCCTGTGGCCTCAAAGCGTGTCATTTATGTTTATATGAATTTTACTTTGTTCAAACACTGGTTTTCACACTGAATAAAGAGTGTTTTTATGTAACAGGCATGATCGAAGTTGTACTTAAGTCAATAAAAAGCGAGACGAACAGAATATATCTATCAATATAAATGAGTCTTGTTGGATTTTACCTGGAAATAAATGGCATGATGGATCAGATATTTATTCCATTTTATCATAATTTGATACGATGAAGCCTGTAAAATACCTGGTGGCTGTACTACCATGTATCTCTCCCTGTCTTGGTCAACTCTCATATATGTAGATTCATGCATAAATTTTGTGATTTTAATATATTAAACTATTTTCAATTTAGCTCTCAACTTCAGTCAGCTGTGATGAGGACTCTTTCAGCTGCATTACAGCCAAGAGCTGATAATATTGAAATGGATTGGAAGCTAGTAGAGAAATTTCATGATGGCAAGGAGAAACCAATTGAAGTGGTAGTTGTTCCCAAGCAAATAACTCCAATATTTCCTGATCGGTTCTCGACATATTTCGGTTTTTTCAAATCTGGTTAGTAAATGTAGTCATATTTACGATTATCCAAAATATGTAATTTAAAAATCAGTCTTCATTATGGCATATGCAACTACTGATAACCTGTCTGTCTTGGTATATACTGTTAGTAACACTCATTTTCAAGTTATTTGTAGCAGGTATACTTATGTGAGCCTTTCTGCCAGTGCTTTTTATTATCGTACCACTATCTCTCACCGACAATCCACTACGATATATGTTTGATTTCTCAGTTATTTGTAAATAACACTTAACGTAATAACTATCTGAAGTATGGCAGAATAGGTAAGTATTCACTATCGGACTAACTGATAAATAGCTGTAAATTCTATAATAGTCTGACGAACATTATGACAATTAATTAAAGGTATATTTGAGATAGCACAATGAATAGAAATTCGAATTTCTGACGTTTCGTAACTCAGTGTAAACCACTTCTTCACAGTAAACAAGTAAATAACTAGAATTAGTTAACAAAAGTTTATATATATATATATATATATATATATATATATATATATATATATATATATATATATATATATATATATAACAGTTAGAAATAAAAAAGCTATAGGGGAGTAGATGAAATTTGCTTAGAAAACTTTTGGATCTATCAGCCGACTGTGATTAGTTGAAAAGAAAATAATAAGCATGTTCAAATCATTCTTTCATTGAATTTGTAAACCTATTTCGTTAAGAATAGACTATCTATCTAACAGTTGAAGGCTGATAAAGTGGTATCATGTCATATTTGCATAAATATGGTTTAGTGATTCAAGAAAGTAATCTATCAACCTTTAACAGGTATTCAATCGATGTGCACCATCAATATAAAAATTTATGTTAATTTGGTTAATTGAATTCGTTTCATGCATCTAAGTTACATTTTAAAAAAATAGTGTTTTATAATTTTCTTTCGTCTTTTATTTATACAATAGATAAATCATCAACTATCCAAGGACAAGTAAATTTCAATTGTAGTGTACTAGGTGAAAAGAAATCTTTCATATTAAGTATATCGAATGAGATATTGTTTAATGACAAGTTGAATTGTTCTGGAAGTCTACCGATTCATCGACTAGCAGGAAATATGCGAATGAATGAACTTATAGATGAATACCATAGTATACAATTGAGTGAAATGAATGAGAAAAATGAAACAGAACTGAAGTCCATACGTCAACAAGTTGAAGATTTATCATGTCAATTGAATATATTATCAAAATTCACTTCTTTGGTTGCTGTAGACCCAACTAAGTTAGGTAATTAATATGAATTTCATTAGTACTATGGTAAAAGTTCCTGTTCATTTCATGTAGTTTACCTTCTATAACTTGTCGTAATATGATTAGAATTATCTTAATTCGTTGCACAAAATAAAGCATGGAGGATTTCTTTCACCATTTTACTACTTGTATTACTCTTCTGATTGTTTGTTTTGTTCTATTTTAGATGTTGATCCGAAGGAAAGAGTCAAAGTCACTGTACCTCTTATGTTCCGTCATGTCGGTGGTATGATTCATTAAACACTTATTTCATAATGTTCATTTGTATGATCACTTTAATAATGAATTAGGATTTTATGTATTTATTAAATCAGTGTAGCTTCAATGGGGCGATTCAAACAACCAGTACAAAAATGAATCAGTCCAACGTTTGTTTTTGTCCGACTGGTGTATATTTATTTGTAAAGACTTTCTCATAATTTAATTTTGGGATTAAACACAACATGAACAAAAGGTTTATGAATATTGTGAGTTAGGTTGATTTCTCACTCACTATATGTCTGTAATTCTGACAAGTTTTGTATTATAAACTACCCAGCTTGACGAAGTGATTAAACGTTCATATCATTACGAATCGACTGAGCTATATTATTTGGAATATCTCTCCCTTGATAGTCTTCTATCTAAGGTAGGTTGGTTGAAAAACATATCAAAGAAACCACATAAATCTGCTGGGAATCATTAATTGGGAAATTATGGGTCAGTCAGGGTTTACGATGCACTAATATTTGAATCATCTCCATCAAATAGTGTCCGTCATCATTGTCCATTTTCTTCATTTTCACCAAATCTTGTCACATATATGATCATTTTTAACTTGAATTTAAATTTATTGGTCTCTGACATAAAAACCTCACTGACTAAGTACGTAGGCGATAGTCTGAGTGGCGAGAATGAATGTTTGCGATGTATATCTCTTCCTATAGATTCAAAATATTACTCCGAGACTGGTCTTCATCAAATAAGGGTTGAGTTTGTTGGCGTACTCATGTCAATTGTCTTGGAGCTTCACTAGCCGTAGCGAAGTTATTGGTCAACGAACTCTCAATATAAGAGCTAACGGTCTTTTCATCATTTGCTAGTTCACGTCAAACTTCGAGCTAGAAAGATGTTCATCTTTCTATCAAAAGATGAGTATACAATGCACCACCTTGTGCTTTATTACCTAGTAATTATGAAAATTGTCTTCAGAGGTCGATGGCGTACTTATATTGGTATTATAGATCACAGGTGTCTTCTAAGCTTGTTCATTTGTATTGAAAACAGAAAATAACTATGTTTTGGATGTTTAGATTACTAGTCAAAGATGATAAATCAGTTTACGAAGATTCGATCTTCCATCTACTAATCTAAATGGAGTTAGTGTTTTTTATGTCTAGGAATTGCCTGCTCTTAAGTACCGTCTTGGCTACAGTAAAAGCAATTGAAAACGACTGTTGGGAGCGACTATATCGAGCCAAGAGGACTAATTACAAATGCCCTGGTACGGCCGAGAGTGGGGAGAGTCCGTTCTCCCTCTCTAAATGCTCTCACATGGCCACGCGTACATAGCCTCTGACAGGGAAGTCCTACTCACTGCCTTCTCGTGGCGGGGGTGTTGTTTACGAAAATGAGAAAACGAAAAGCGAATGTCCGGCGCTTTAACCGGATTCCAAATCAATGGTGCACATGGGCTCCAGTATCCGCGGGAACAAATGGCGTACGAACCAATCGTTGGTCACCGGCTACCATGGGACTGCATCTCCTTACGATGCTCCACTGCCTTGTGGATCAGACCCTCAGGTCGAAGGCTCGGGGTGTGGCCCCCCAAGAAAACCACCTGCTTCGGTTTGGGCACCCGAGCAGTATCACAGCCCTCACACATATCGAATAAGATTTGTGTGGCGCATATGTATTTGATGCCTCTTTGTACCAATATCTATGTGTTGAAATAATAATAATAATTACAGGGAGACATTGATTGATCACCTGAGCTTTGTTTAAAGGTGCATACTTTACTGTTAGACTTGCGAAATAGTCGTCATATTTATTTAAACACCCTGAAAGACGTTCTTTAATAACACTCGAATAATACCAGACGCATTGATACTTTACTTTTCTCCGATGCGTAGTATAATTCTATCCGTTCGTTCCTTTTTTAAAACTATATTTATTTTATCCCTACCATTCTTACTTTCTTTAATACTCTCGTTTTATTGACGTTAAGTACAGTATCCCGAACTGCTAAACATATATTCCAAGTCCTGCTGTGCTTATGATTAATTGATTACCAAGTGAATCAATCGATATATTAGTAAAGTTGTATATTGATCTTATATTTATGCTTTCTCTTTGATGAAAATTAGTACATTGTGAGAAGTATTTTAAATGTAATTGATTTTATTGTTACTCGGCTGTTTACAATATAAGTGCATAAATACAATAATTATTTCTTATGACCTTATAATATCCATGCGAATGTATATTGCATAATATTTTTTTTCTAAAAATAACGAAATACTGTTCTTATTTGCTAACATTATAATCCTTTCAATTCGTTTAAAATTCTCATAGCATCATATGACAAAGTCAGCTCAGATTTTTCTGATAATAATTTATTGTTTACTAACTGATATTATGACTAAAATGTTTATACCAATGTTTGTATCATTAAAACTACTAAATAACATTCATGTTACATTTTTCATGTGTACACCTTTCTTTTTTATTGTCTTTATTCATCTTAGCTGCAAAAATGGCAATGCCTACAGGGAGTATTTGTTATGATACCTTTGATGGTAGTAAGTTTATTGCAGTGTTGATATATGTATTGCTTAGATTTATCGATAAATTTGATTATGCATCATATTCGACTTTTGAATTTGTTAACTGTCTCTTAATCATGCATAGCAAATCAAAGAATTTGTGCTTATTTTTGTTGATAGAATGACCCAATAATTCATTGCTTTTGTTATTGATACACGTAGACAATTCATAAAATAAAGTGTTATATAAGATGGTTCCGTGTAATTTTGGCCTAAAATGTCATCCTATTTAGCTATATTTGTAAAATAGTTGTTTTTGCTTTTTACAATGCATTTGGTTAAAGCATAAAGTCTTGCTTGTGTTTATTTAAGCAACATTGTCATCATTAACATTGCAAATATCAAAAATTATATTCAGATTAGTCTAAATTAAATATTTTATAACTGTTTAGTCATTTGTTTAACTTATTTTTCGCTTGAATATTTTGTAATTTAATAGTTGAAATCATGAGTCAATTGAAGCTAGACCACCATGGAAAACCTGGAAGCACTGGATGGCCGTTTCTTTCTGTTGTGGCACTCTTCAACAGTACGTATCCATGGTGGTCTAGCTTCAATTGACTGATGATTTCAAATATTAAATTACTATAATATCCACAAAAACCCCTTTCTGATATTTTGTAATTGCTAATTCATTGAGTATTATCTTGGTGTTTTAGGATTAGTTTAACTAATTGTATCTTTTCATCTACTGGGAATTTCATTTTGTAGATTTAATATACTCATTATTCATGTTCATAAACGTTAATTCCTTGATATATCTTTATTTTATCGATTTTGTTAATATTCTATACTTATACAGATTTTGAGGGATCTGTTGGGTGCTGTGGTAAGTTAACCTCCTTCCCATATTACTTTAATGATTTGAAGTATTCAGGCATCCACGTTTTTTGCTTTATCGCTTTTATAAGTCAGTAAAAGTGTATATTGTTTATTTTTACACGCACACGCATGTATTGATATACCGTCTTAATACGTCACATCGTGCTTAGTGACAATGGGAAATAGTGAAATAAATTTTATCAAATGATCTTACATGTCATATTGTTTTATACCTAAGTACAGATGGCACGTGTACTAAAATTCAAACTTCATCTATTAAAACGATGGGTATGGTAATTCACTTTACGAATCCAAAGATATTTGAGATTCCGATGTGAAAGTTGATACTTATACTATTTCACTATGGTTCATATTTGTAAAAAATGTTAACCTAGAAATCTCCAATCCTTCCTCATAGGTGCCATCATATATTTACCAAGTAGTAGTGATTTGGAAAAAAACTAAAATCCGAATAAAACTTTAAAATACATCAAACGATATTATACATTGACAATACTGTAAAATGAATTATATCAATAACTGACTAATAGGGTATATGAGAGAGATATTCTTTCCAATATGTATTACATTGAAGTTGAGATGACTGAATATGGCTAATTGATTTACATCAATTACCGGGTTTTTTTCTTGTACGAAACATAAGGTACAAGTGTACATCATCCTAAAAATTGGAAAATTATGTAATGTAATTGGAATGAGGAATATCGATCACATTAAACGTATTATGAATGTACACATGAAGGTGAAATGGAAGTTATCGTCTTCACACAAAACAAAATGATTATTTTACAGTTATCTTTTATTATTGGTTAATTTTTAAAGTCCAACGCGTCCAAGATAACTCACATTGGAAGATAGTGTTTGTAATATTTATCTTTGTTGGTCATTATTATTATTATTATTTATTATTTGATCACATAAATATTGGTACAAGCGGGTACCATATATATATGCGCCACACAAAACAATGAGAATAGGAAGAGAAAAAAAGAGGAGCAATAACGACCAGATTAGTGTAAGGTAGTGTGATAATAATAACAATCATAATAATAGTAATGATGGGGGAAACGGAAAAGTACAACCAGAAGAAATCTTTCAGTTAAGGAAGGTACAACCACTTTTTATGAAGAAAGTAAATGAAGGTTGCAGCAGGATCGGCACTGGCCTTTATTCTGAGCCATATCTGATAACGTCTCTAGCCACTGTGTCGCACCATCTCTCGGACCCCAGCCAGGGAGTCGTGAAGGACCAACACAAGCCAGTCCTTTGCAGCTTTCTTTCATACCCCGACACCATGTCATACACTGACCACTTCTCCACTTTTTCCAACCAGTCTCAGCGTCGGCAAATAATGGATGACGTGGAATTCGCTGGGACGACATTCGTAGAACATATCCAAGCCACCGAAGTCGATGTTTCAAGATGGTGACACCAATTGGATTATCGTCTCTGTGCCTGAACACACGATGCCGAACCTCTGCATTACTAACATGGTGTTTCCACTGGATGTCAGCAATCTTTTGGAGACAACGATGGTCAAACACAGAGTCGTCTAACATCGTAAACTCAGAGGGGCCAGGTTTCACAAGCATAGAGCAAAACCGCTCTCACGGACGCGTTGTAGGTCCGACCTTTTGCAGCCATACTGACATCACGAATGCTCCAAAGATGGTCCAGATTGGCATGAGCCGCTCTGGCTTTCACTATACGTACATTGATCTCATCACTCCCGCGACCACCAGCACTTATGCAGCTACCTAGATACACGAACTTCTCGACTACTTGTATCTGCTCAGCATCCAGGGCGAGTACAGGATTAGAATTCTGCCAGTCTTGTAGAAGTACTTTGAACTTCGAAGGTGCAAAGCACACACCGTACCTGTGGACATTTTCGACTTATACATTAGCTCGCTTATAGTGGAAACTCGGTTGTATCTTTGTTGGTACATTATTCTTCATCATGGAGATCAACGCCTTGCTCTCACCCGATTGTGAATTATTCTGTAAGATCTTCAGGTGAGATCATATCTATAATAAAACGCATAGTTCGCTGAAGTAGTAATTAGAGTTTTTCTATTACCTTTTATTTTGTATGAGCATCTGTAACAATATTAGTTGTAACTATCCTAATATTGTCTGTTAATAATTACATTCCTTTAATTACTTTTTATTATTTTAGCTTTACAGATATGCGATTTCAATAATTCGTTGGGTTTTGATACAGACATGTGTGCTGAAGGTAGGCTCACCATTATCTTTTAATTACTTGCTTACTTACGCCTGTTACTCCCAATGGAGCATAGGCCGCCGACCAGCATTCTCATACCCACTCTGTTCCGGGCCTTCCTTTCCAGTTCTGTCCAATTTTTCTTCACGGGGTCACTAACCCCATGCCCAATCCTCCTCCTTTATTCGGGCTTGGGACTGGCAGTAGCCTCAGAGGGGCTCCAGGTGGAGTTTTAATTACCTAGAATTCACTATCGACTGTAATGACAACTAAGCTTATCACAACTAATCCATTTTGTCTATTTATGGTTCCAAATACACCTAAGCGATAAGTGTCCACATTATTTCAATCTAGATTAAAGGTTTCCAGTCAATATAATTAAAAACGTATAAAAGAGTATAGTGTATTAACTTAATGCATGAGTTTTTATAGAAATCCTGCCTATGTAATAAATTGTTTGACAGAATAATATTATGTAAATTGTTTATACGTATCATGTGTACAATCACATTTCTAAAATAAGTAATATTAAATCTCTCATTTTTTATTTATTTTACTCAAATTAATCTATTTCTTCAATTTGAATAATTATAAAATAATTGGGAATTTTAATCACATCAGTACTACTTTAAAATCATCATTTAAAGTAGTCATGTTTATTTTTTTTATAAAAAAAATTTCAGGTTATTTTGAAGCATTATTATACTATTGTCTAGTGTACTTGTTTCAATCATTTGAAGAGATTTATCAAGTGTTTCCATTCATTAAACTAGTTACGTGATTAAATTCTCTAATTCCTTCCCCCCCCCCAAAAAAAATAAACTGCTTCATAATTATTGCTAACCTTTAAACATATCCTCATTAAAACTGTTTAAATGTAAAACTGTCATAAAATAAATTGTACACTTATTTCTTATTTGTATGTTTGTTAAATAATGGTATATTATATCAGCTTTTAACAAAATCATATACCATATGAAAGTGACATAATAATAGTTTTAAGTTAAGGTTGATTATTTATCTAATTTCCTTTATAATAATATTTTTGTCTTATTAACATTTTTATTTGTTCTGAATCTGTTTTTAAGACAATCACTATCTATTACAACCTATGATCTATTAATATTTCACTATATGATATTCTTTCATACAATTAATATGTAAGGTATTTGTATTTTGAGCTCCCCATATTGTTAATGTTGCTCAGTGTAATAAATTTTTATTATCGTAGATATAATATTCACTTTGTAAGGATTTTGTACAAATACAATAGAAAGTTTTACTAAGTGACGTGATTTGACGACGCATCAAAAATCAAGAATCACTAAGACGTTATCGCGTACCAGTTTGAAACTTTTCAACTATGTGTACTGACAGCCTAACACTGATGTGAAACTAATACCTTATGGTTCATATTAAGCAGGATATACTTTAGGTATTGAGCTTGTTGTTACTGGTCTTTATTTCCTAATGTAATCAACTAGTTTGTATATCACGATCCTGGCCTAATGTTGTTGATAGGTGACTGCCTGATTCTTGTATTTGTTTACTAAAGTTAAACATTACACTTCTTCGTAGTCTAATTAACTAAACGTTTTATTTATTCTCAGTGACTATGTTATGTTGCATGATCCAGACGATCAAAGCAATTGTTTAGCTAATTTATATTTTCTGTGAACATTGGCATTAAAAATTCACTCACAATTGACCAGCCGTTTACACAAATTGAGTCAACAATCAATTCGTGAATTTTATTCTAGATGACCCAATTTGAACATGACAGGATGGTCTTTAGATATGTGCTACAATTTAGGATATGTTATAACTTGTGACCCTGTTCGCCTATCAGTATATGACATAATGATACCACCAATTAGAGAACAGTGAATTATCGACAGGACCAATGACGCATAAAACCCGTAAGAGTAGTCTAAAGTCCTTATCGGTCCTTCTCCCTGCCTGTTAGATTCCAGAACACCAATCTCAGCTTCTGCGATATGAATCATTTATTCTAAACATACTGGGTTCATACGTAAACCAAACAGACTACATTGTACCATAAAATAGGAAATAACATTTGTACAAGATCTAACCAAATGTGACTGTGAATGTGGGAAACTGTAATTAATGAACTGGGCAAAACTCAAGAACAGTAAATCGTATAATAATAATCTATGGGTTAAAATAAAGCTTTTAATAAGAGGAGTATGAATATACACAGCTGTTACTTAACAATTATACAATAAAAATATATGTATCGTATTGGTCCATAGATAGTTTTGGTGGAGTTTTGTTCTCTGAGCTGGATGGTTTGGTCGTGGAGCTTTCATCGTTCTTCTGAACGATATCATCAGCACAAACTTCAGAGAGAAGTGAAGTGTTTGAAGTTTGTGCTGATGATGTCGTTCAGAAGAACGATGAAAGCTCCACGACCAAACCATCCAGCTCAGAGAACAAAACTCCACCAAAATCATCCACCTGAGCTACAAATTTTCTCCACCATCTCCATAGATAGTTCTCAAAAGTTACCATTCATAATTCTCGTCAGGATATAGTAGGATACATGAAATATTCATCAGTCAGTTGACAATTTAAGTTATGCAAAATTTAGTGAGTAAACTGTTTTGGCTCCCAAAATGTATTACATTAATATAAACCAGATGTTAAATAGTTATTGAATAAATTAGAACTCGTAAGTCACCATTAAATAAATAATACTATTTAATTCAAAAGTAGAGATTATTGAATCTCGAATTAATTTATTGAAGTTAAATAGAATATTCAATAAAACGGACAAATTGTGTTCAGTATAAATTTCACTGAAGTATTCACTATGTCTTTTGATTCAATGATGTATAAGTTTAAATCGATTGTGAAAATTAGTTTTTACAATAAATTTTAATATTCATAGATTATTTAGTTATAGAATTGATTTTATCATACTTGTTTTATTAGTTATCGTCAGCAGTGTGCATCGACGATCCCGCCTCGTGAGCGCCCAACCATTAAACCACTGAGCCGGTATCCGATGGTGTTAATGTCTAACTTCAACTAATCCACGAAATTGAGCCACAAAATCTAATGAGAAACAGTGACCAGTGGAGTTCAACTGGATCTGCTGTGAGATAGTAAATCACTGAAGACAATGGTAGATGTGTCACTCAATTTCGTGGATTAGTTGAGGTCAGACATTAACACCATTGGATGCTGGCCGGAGGTTAGGCATTCGTGTGAGACCGATAGAACCTGGGTTCAAATCTCGCCAGGCCGGATCGTGGATGCGCATTGCTGACGAGTCCCACAATAGAACGAAACGGTCGTCTAGTGCTTCGAGGTTTTCCATGATAATATAGCTCCAACTGACTATTAAAATTACTATAGTATCAACAAAACCTCTTCTAAAATTATATATAAAACCGATAATATTCCATATATCTTGTCTTTTCATCTTGTTATTTAGATCAATTTCAGGAAATCCAACCAGTTAAAGTTATGGAAAAACATATAAGACTTGCTGAATTACAAAGTTTTTCAGGATTCTGGAAATTAAATTCTGATTTATCTGAATGTTTTGAAATACCTCTTGATAATTTGACAGAGTTTTTAAAACAAACTGGTAATTTTAATGAATTCATTGAAAGTTTTTAACTTATGTTTATATGATCTATGCTATTTCGGTTTAAAATTCAACTAGCAATTAGTTCTCGGTATTGTTTGGCAGTTGAGTTTATTGAAGTGTTGCACTAGATAGAACGGTTAAATTTGTACTCATGTGATTACACTTTTTTATTTACTACTCGAATAAATATATTTATAAATGTTAATTAGGTTTCATCCCCACATTAACAGTTTGATTACAAGAAAACGACATTCGAGAGTATTTTATGCATTTCAATCTAACTTTGCTATTCACATATGATTAGGTATATAGCAACCGAAAGGAAATGTATTAAGTTTACACTGGTATGAATTATTTGATTATTTTGACATACTTGTCTATTGTTAACTAATATCCGTTCAAAGATTTCGCATTGAATCATTATTGTAAATCATGTCTCATATTAAAATTTCCGATTTTAGAAAAATCCTTATCTCTATCGGATGTTACTTGGGGGACCGCTCTGGTAATTGCATATCTGGAGTTATGTATGCCTGAGAAGGAAAATGAATGGCGCCTGATAGTTGATAAGGCAAGATATTGGCTCAACACTCAAGGTCAAGTATCTCAAAAAGATTCAAAGAATCCCAGTGAGTCATGTAATGAACTTATTGAAAAAGCTCGTCAGGTTTTAACTAAATTATTGAAACCGACTACATCCAAATAGTTCTTGTAATGGACAATCTTACTGACTTTTTATTTTGATTTTGAAGATTTTTTTATCTTTCTTTCTTTATATAATGAAGATGTTGCACTTTAATTTATCAAAATATACCTTTATTTGTTTGACAGACTAATTTATTATTTAACTTTCTCGTGAACATAACATCTCAATTGAAAAATCACAATAGATGTTGACTGGGATTTCGCATTCTTCATCCTGTATAGCAATTGTGTTTTCGCTAGAGAATGAAGTCTTTTGTCGTTGACAAAAGTTATTCTCTGAATTGAATTATATGGACATTAAAAGTTAATTGGGGTGTGTATACGCTGATTGTTGACTATTTTCAAATGTTTAAATCGGCACCACTAAGACATGTTGCTCAACTATTATTGTACGATTGCGTCGATGATAACTTAAACCAGTGTTCCAAGTATAGCTTAAAATTTGAAACTGTGATTCTCATGTGTTCACATCTGGGTTGCTATGGCTAATCAGGATGTTGACTACTAACTGAATTCTCAATTAGATTATGGTACCTAGCATATATCCATGACCTCAATAAACTCCCTTCCGATGCGATTTGAACGCCATAAAAAATTAAAACAGTAACTGTAGACTATAAAATGTAAGTTCTAGATTTTATATACTTCGTCAAATGTGTTGGATTCGTAGTTCAAAAACCTAAAAGATAAGCCTATAATGATTGTCACCGTGAACGATAGATTGGCTAGAAGGAATTTGTACAAATTTCGAGATGCGTCGATGTTACGGTTACGGCAATCGAAACACCACAAATGCCTACTAAATATAGAAATCAGACAGTGCGTTTGATTGCAGAAATAATAATATATTTATGAAATAACAATTAGCGAAAAAATGAATTTCTGAGTGTTTTTATTAAAATATAACCTGTTGTTTCAGAAAAAAATCACGTTTTAAGGGAAGGACGGTCTAAATATCCATCGAACATGAACTATTCATCCAAGTATTCACAATCTTAATTCCATTCAGGACAAACATATCTTTATAACTATATTTTCAAACATTACAAATATGACATTTCCCACACCCACTAAAATATACAAAAGAATGACTCAACCAGAATCAGGTTGACGAAAACGAAATTACATTCCCGAATTTTAGGTAAAACAATGATAATATGATATGATTTCCAATTACTCAACATTATGTATGACCATTTGATCCGGACATTCCCTTAACAGTCTTCATGTATGAATGTGTTAAGAGGTAAAACAAAATCAACATTAAATAACTTATACCTCAGAATCGGAATGATCAACCATGAAAATAGTACAAGCGAAATGGTGCAGTATTACTTTGATACAATCAAAATGAGTGAGATAGTGCTGATGTAATGTCATTTTGGTTAATGCAATTTTGTTACTTTGTTTCTTCGTATAACTATCCCCTTGTAGCGATAAGCAAATCCCCAAAATAAATGGCTCTGTAATTCTTCGACATTGGATGCTGATCACATGAGTTTTAACGGACTCACCTAGCTGAAGACGCTCGGTCATGCATCCGCACCAGATCACGAGTGGGAACGCTGTGCTCAACTACCCTTGCAATCGTTAGCCAAATTAGATCAGACGATCCTCAACATATTGATAGGCTATCAAATTTATCTTTGAACGACCTCGCTTCTGTCTTTTGATTTCACTTGGTGGGCACGATTCATATTAGGTGTTACTGGTTCAAGCGTTGTCAAACTCAAATACCTGTGGCTTTTTCCTTCTATACCGTCTGATCTAGAAATTTTTAGAGTGTTCAAATACTTCTGGATCTTTTTAGTTTCGAAAGTGTTGGACTCTGTGAAGCTAAGATCACAAGGCAAAGACCTAGGTGGTGAATTATTAGACAGACATACAAAAGGTGGAAATTTATTGAATTTAAATTCCGTATTAAGCACCTTGGTATCTCAACTATGGAAACTATGTGCTTTTAGTAATCCCGATTCACACCATTACACGTCTTGTGTATCATCTTCCCCATGAAATTATATAGAAGCTTGTGGTAAATTTCCATAGACTGATGGCTTTTCTTGCATACGATTTGCTTAGTCCAAGTTTCATGTACTGCCTTGTGACATAACCAGTTATCTTTGACTTTGGAACGATGTTAATTTTTTTGGTAAATCGGTATTTTTCTAATGAATTCACAGGTACTAAACTTTGGCCTATAGGACGATCTAAAAGGAATTACTCGTTGAATATAGGACACTCAAATACGACATCAGTTTCTAGAATCACGATTTTGTCTCATATGGAACTTTAAGTGGTACTGGTTCTTAACAGTACGATTTTTGAACATGAGCGTGAAATTACCGAGAAGATTTACATCCAACATATGACACTAAGTTGAGATCTACAACGGTGAACGCGGCAGCAAATATTTGAAATGTCATTGTTCGGCCATGCAGGTGCGGTTAATCTGTATAAGCTCTTGTTTTCTGTGTCAAATATATTGTTCTCTTCCCAGATTGAATATATTCACACATGTTCTAGACGTCACATCGCTGACTGTCACCAAGGAACGATTCATTGAAAAGAATGATGTGACTTCAACACACAATCTTCGAGATTAGGTTGTCACATCGTGACATCTACAACTTTGGGATTAGGTCTATTATTATGGTAACAAAGGTAATTGTACTAATACCGAATTAGACCACAATTCTTTAAACCCACTTACATAATAGCTCTAAGAGTATAAAGCGTGATTTTAGTTCACTCATGATTCCTACTTTGACTGTCTGGTAATATCGATCAACTTCCATACATGATATTTCCTGTTCAGTTCGAATAAGTCTTGTTTACACTTAACTGCACACTAGTCATCATTTTACTTCTATATATTCTCCTACTCCTCATCCTAAAACTTCATACAAAACTAATCCGATGATTGTGAAGTGGCATAGCAGCTACTTGTTGCAACTACTCATACACAGGTGACTTGCAAATACCAAAGGATGTCGGTTGATTCATTATTCTTCCACTTTGCAAACTCCTTTGACAAAGTTATCCACATGCTCCTCGTTATGAATGCTGACCCACTTTTATCCTTAATACGACACGAGCTAGAGAAAAACGTGCACCGTGCCAAAGTAAATACAGTGCTCTCAAGTTAAGTCACAACATCTGAAGCCTCACAAGGTACAATCTTAGGTACCCTCCAGCAAGTACCCTCCAGTTAGTTAAATAACCTCACGGACATTGATCTGCGCTGACGATGCAAAGATATCATGGTAAATAGTGAGCAAAAAAACTCACTTGGACTTCAAAACGACTGTTGAACGATGGAGAAATAGTCAGTAGATATAGGATTAAAACTAAACCCATCGAATTTTCATGTCATGCACATTCTGCCTCATCTTACACAAAGAACTTACGCTCCCATGAAAATCTGATCTTCACTGTCTCACCGTAGCGTGGTCTAGAGATAGTGAATACAGGAGCTTAGACACCAGGTCAACGTAACTCTTCACGTTAAACGAAGACAACTTGACACGATCACCTTAGATATGTTATTCACTTTCTTTAAAACATATACACGATCCCATCCTAATATCTAAAATATTGTCGCATCTCATCCCTTCCTAAGTGAGACGAGGAACTAATTGGGTTATAGGGCTACAGAATAAAACTTGAGGGGACACACACCATCACTTGAAGTTACTTTCGCTGGGCCACAGGAAAACAAGAGATGAGCTGACGATGACACATGACATATTATGTACACCAAGACACCTCAACACGTGCAGACCATCAGAACGTCGCCATCTTGATCATCGAGGCAACCCTTGAAGAATCAAATGGCAACCATCCAGGCAAACTCTCACCTCTCCTCACTAAACGTTACTGTCAGTTTTAATGCCTCCTCAAACTCAGTAGTCACAGCCCCTTTAGAGGTCAACTTCAGGCTGAGGCAAATATTTAATTATCTCTGGGTTAAGATCTCACAGTTGAACAAGCTGTGTCTGATTCAAGTCCCATAAGTGAACACGGTTTTCATCACCGTATACCGGTAAGTATTCCCTATCTCGCTTATGTTCATAGCCGTTTTGTCTCCTATTATTTCAATTCCGTCTTCTTACACATTACAATTAGGCAAAGTATTTATTTGTTCTTGCAACAGTCGTTTTCTTCTGTGCTTCAACTATCATTTTAAAACTGCAATCAACTAACCTTTTGTATCCATAAACCCCACTATTCCGAGACAAATGCATTTACAAGAATTACAAAACTGACCAGAATTAGTGCAGGCAAGTAGCTAAACTAATATTCGTTAAACATAATCGAACACATTCAACCAAACAGAGGTAACGGGAAGTGAGATGAAATAGATCAATCTGTTTTTGCAAACTCATGACAAACATATTGGGTCTTGGATTCACCCGAGCGGATTTTCTAATCAATGTGCTACTATTATGCTGGTGAGTTCATATTCTGGTTTTGTTTTTATGTTATATCCAGCTGTGTAACAGTGCAACGCGTTTGTTATCTGTATATTGCTTATAGTTTTTTTGACTGCCAGTTTTGTTTTGTGTTTGTGTTTGCATTACTTCTACAGAATCAATGAACATCTGATTAGCATCCAAACCCTTAGTTATAACATATTGGGACTTCTGTTTACGCTTTCACACGTAACTGATCTTATCTGTAGCCCTTTCTAGCTGAAAGCAGTTCATTTTCATAAATAATAAATGAGTAATAGGTAATCTAGTGGGACTAGTCCGAACGGGTAAGCCACTGATGGAAGGAGTGGATAACGTGAATGACGCATTACCAAAAGTCCGTCTATACTTACCCATGTACACTCAGTTAGCTACGTCCGTTTAAACTAATTATATCAGCATAATTGTACTATACCCACTCGATTATTTGTTTTATTCTAGGAGATTATTCATCACTTTAATTCATTCGAATTACCTTGGATTCGGTGTTTTTAGTGGGTTTTCAAACACGGATCTTCAAATTTAAAGATTGTTTATCCATTATTATAATTGTAATCGTACGTGTAGTACTGCGTCTCGGTAACCGTCAGAACACTTAAACGCTTCGTTTGACTAAAAATAAAACCCTGTTAGTTGTATACGAGTTGTGAGGA